TAGAGAGGGAGAGAGAGAGAGAGAGAGAGAGAGGAAAGAAAAGCAATTCATCATCATAATGCTATACCTCCCTATGGACAATGAACATTGGGATTTTGGTGCCATCTTTGCTTGGAAAGAAAACCTGTTTCGTTTCAAATATGGAGCTGTCAAAGCCAACCACTTTAATCTCACGAAATATCTATTAATTGGGATAATTATATCACATGTTACTAATTATAGTAACAAATGTTACTAATTATAGTAAGTTGTTGATAAACATGATGACTAAATTTATTCAAATATACTAAATATAGCAACATTACAGACCTGTTACCAAAATTACGTACTGTTGCTGTTACTAAATATATCAGTACATTATGCTTTAAAGGTGTTACTAAATATAGCAACAAGTCCTAAAAATAGCAACAAACCTCAGTTTTAAGAGGATAGTTCCTGAGATCACAGTGATATATCATTCCAGGAGTGAGGAATGACATGAAGCGATAAAATATCTCGGACTGATTCCGTTTACCGGAATAGCCGGTCACTGATCCCATGTCAAGTGGAAAGTTAGTTATAACTTTACCATACATATCGTAGAGCATAAGAACTGACTGGAGGGAGGGAGAGGGAGAGAGAGAGGGAGAGAGAGAGGGAGAGAGAGAGAGAGAGGGAGAGAGAGAGAAGAAAGGAAGGAGTAAAGAAATCACAATAGAGAGTGCTAGTGTGAAAGTGTATATGCTCCTACCTTGACATCTCTAAGGAAACAGAGGACCAGGTTATTATCATTGGCAGCTGCTGCCCACTCCAGGACATCAACCTCTCCACCTGGCACCAACACACGCCAATCAGACTAAATAATGTATTTTAAATAATAATACTAATATTAATGTACATGTAATCTGTAATAATAATAATATTAATGTACGTGTATGTGTACAGCCATGCATGAAACTGAAATAATGATTAGAGAGAGTTCTATGTGTGTGTGTGTGTGTGTGTGTGTTCCTTGCCTTGTTAGGTTTGTTGATGTCAACATTGATCAGTTGATATTTAGGTGCTTGATAATCAGTCTTTAGTGTAAATACAGTACCATCATTAGCAATGAACTGATAGAGGAAGAGAGAGAGAGAGAGAGAGAGAATAATAAAAAAGGAACGCGAGGATTTTTTGGTTTACTTACATCATATGAAGACTCAAAATCATCATCAATCAGTTTCACCATTGGCAATATGCCTACAATACAATTATTATACATGTACATGTACACGTAATACAAAATGTATAGCAATGAAATCAAT